TCATAATACTTTAATTTTCAGAGTGTAGAAACATGAAAAATCATAGTTGAGTAAAAAGTAAAATTTTCGTGAAAGAAGAAGCAACAATAAGTAAATTTTCTTTGATTTAAAAGAGATTGTTCGATTAATGCTGTGCTCACTAAGCATGAGACTTGGTAAATTTTAGAAGAATGTTAAATTAATCAGAAAAATGAAGTGAAAATCTTGAGAAAATTCGCTAATGACACTCAAAATCCAAAATGTTCAAAATATTAGAAAAATTTCTTATGTTTTGAAAACTAAATGAATATATTTAGTTAAAATATATCTGAAACATAGTTGGCAGTGGAGATTTTAAAATACCCATAATTCATTAATCTTCAGAGTGCAGGAACATGAAAAAATCATAGTTGAGTCAAAAATAAAATTTTCGTGAAAAAAGAAGCAACAAAAAATAAATTTTCTTTGATTTAAAATAGATTGTTTGATTAATGCTGTGCTCACCAAACATGCGACTTTTCAAATTTTAGCGAATGATAAAAGTTTAAAAATGAAAAGATACAGAAAATTTGAAATTTAACACCTTTAAATTTCATAAGTTTTTACAAAACTAATAGGGGCAAAATCAGTTTTATCTTAACAAAGACTAGGCCCGCCCACCCGCCCCCTATTTTTTCAGAGGATGTCATCTGCCAAAATAAGTTTTATCTCAGCAAGTACTAGCCCCGCCCACCCACCCTTTACTTTCTTAGAAGGTATATCATTTGCCAAAATCAACCTTATCTTAGCAAGGGCTTACCCCGCCCACCAGGCCCCTTTTTTCACAGAGGATATGTCATCTGCCAAAATAAGACTTATGTTAACAAGTACTAGCCCCGCCCATCCGCCCTTTATTTTCTCAGAAGGTAGTACTTGCTAGTTAGTACTTGCTAAGGTAAGTCTTACTTTGGCAGATGATATCCTCTGAAAAAATAGGGGTGGGTGGGCGGGGCTAGTATTTGCTAAGATAAAACTGATTTCGGCAAATCACATACTCCCTGAGAAAATAGAGGGCGAGTGGGCGGGGCTAGTACTTGCTTGGATAAGGCTGATTTTAGCAAATGACATATCCTCTGAGAAAATAGGGGCGGGTGGGCGGGGCTAGTACTTGCTAACATAAGACTGATTTTGGCAAATGACATATCATCTGAGAAAATAAAGGGATGGTGGGCGGGGCTAGGACTTGCAAAGGTAAAACTTAACTTGGCAAATGACATATCCTATTCCTAAATTTGATTGGATATTTATTTTTTAACAACTCAGTCATTAATTTTTCTGAGACACCTTGTATAAGCAAATTTAAAAAATATAGATTCATCATATTTTACGCATTTAAGATAGGATATGTTCAGAAATATTGTGAGGTGATGTAATCAATTTTTTCATTTTGATTACAAATTTATCATGTTTATGATATATATAATATATCAGATATATATTTAGTTAAAATATATCTGAAACATAATTGGCAGTGGCGATTTTAAAATTTCCATAATGCATTAATTTTCAGAGTGCAGGAACATGAAAAAATCATAATCGAGTCAAAAGTAAAATTTTCGAGAAAAAACAAGCAACATTTGATTTAAAAGCGATTGTTCGATTAATGCTGTGCTCACTAAACATGAGACTTTTCAAATATTAGAGAATAATGAGAGTTTGAAAGTGAAAAGATACATTTAGTGTTTTGTAGAATAAAAGGAAAATATTAAAAATTAATCAGAAAATGTTAAGAAAATTCAGTGTTGACACTCAAAATCCAAAATGTTCAAAATATTAGAAATATTTCTTATGTTTTCGGGGCTAGTACTTGCTAAGATGAAACTGATTTTGCCCCTATTAAACTTGTAAAAACTTGTTAAATTTAAAAGGTGTTAATTTGCATATTTCCATAGTAACGAGTTAAATTCCTAAATCTGATGGGATATTTATTTTTTAACAACTCAGTCATTAATTTTTTGAGACACCCTGTATAAGCAAATTTCAAAAATATGAATGCAGTGATAAAATACAAGCATAGACTGATCATATTTTAGATATTTATCCGGAAAAATTTTTGGATGACGTCATCAATTTCTTGGAGGGGATAAGCCAATATATTTTCGTTAAAAAATTATTTTACTTACCATAAATTGAAAACATTTAATTTTCCAAATTAAGTCAGGTGAATTTCATCGGCTTATTATATTTTTACGAGACGAAAATTTTACTTTCGTTCAAGTGGTCCAACCACATTTAAAAAAATTCAAAGAGCTTACGCCCACCCACCCGGATTTCGTTATAATCACTTATTTTATTGGACAAAAAGTTGAGTGACAAAAGAAAAGACGACTTTTTCAAAAATGAATTTTTCCACTATGTGTAGACTCCTTATGCAAATTTCGACCCATTTTCCACGATTTTCGAAATTTAACTAAACACATTTTTGGAGATTTCGGGCCGTAGAAGTCACTTCTGGAGTCGTTTTTTCGATAACTCCAGCCGTTTTTCCAGCATCACCCATTGAAATATCGAAATTTTTAGAAATTTCAAAAAATTCGAATTTAATACATACTGAGTTTTTCGAAAATATTTGTCCATGACCATAAACACGTTATATTTTAAAATCTTGAAAAATACACAAACGACACAAACTCAAAATTTCAAGATTCTACATTTGCACGAATCTAAAAATCCAAAATGTTCAAAATATCGAAAAGGTTTATTATAAGTATTTTGAAAACTGGATAAGTCAAACACGAAAACGCAAATTTTTGTCGAGTTAATCGAGACACAACTCCGAATGTAGAAACTTCGCAATTGTCCTGTCCACATTCCTGCTGAAAATTTCCGTCCACCCCTTCCTGCCTCCCAGCCGAAAAATTCCCCGACGCACATTCCTGCGGACTCGCGTAATTAGCGCATATTCAGTATGCAGATTATCCTGATTAAAATTAACCCGAATTTCCGATGGAAGCGGAAGGCAGCGGCTCGGCGTCCCTCCGGGGGTTGTCCGCCGCGTCTTCGGGGCTCAACCCACCTGTAAAAGGCGCAATCAATTTCCCAGCCCCACGTCGAAAACTGCTGATTAAAATTTCGCTTTATACCTCGTAAACTAACCCGGCCGTAAAAATCCAAATAAGCAAACTTGCGAACACAATCAGCGAATAAATCTTTTCAAGCCAACTCGCAAAAAAATCGCGACGTGCGCGATTAATTTATGAATGAAATAGTGTCAACGATTGCGAAACAAAGGATGTGTGAATGATCAAACGCGGATTTCTTGGTTCCATTAAATCGGGAAAAGGCCTTGTACTGATGCGCCCATTACGCCGATGAGGTGCTTGGCATGCACGCAGCGGCGCTCAATTAATTTAAAAGCAATAGAAATGTTTGCGTAACAAATTTATTGCCTGTTAAAACCCAAAGTCTGTATGCAACAATCAATTTGAATGGGTTTGTTTGTTAATTTTTATGATGAATTTATTTTGTCATGAGCTAAAAATAAAATATGCAATGAATAGGTTTTGTGAGTGGTGCTGATTATTGGCGAGACGGACGGCGAATTCTATTTTCAATTGAACGGGAAATTTCTCTTAAAAAGATAAAGTTTAACTGCAACGAAAAGGAAACAATGGAACATTATCGGTTTTTAAACTTGTACTTATATTGTTGTTGTGAAATAATTTCAACTTTATTGTGGACATAAAAAAAATTATGAAGGTAACGTTTTTGCACTCTCCATTTCGGAATTAATATGTAGAAACGGAATTTCCTGCCCACTTAGCTAATGAAACGTATTTCTAGATTAAATGAAAAAATCGTCAACTGTGCAAATGCATAGAACTTCTCCAATATCGATGATACGGCGGAATGAAAGTTTTATTAGTTTACAAATCCACGTATTTGCAGTCCAATTTTTAAATTCATTATTAATTCAAAAATAAGCGTTTGTATGTCATTGATGAAGAGCGAAAATAACCATGGGCTCAAACTGAAAAATTGTGAAATTCGAGAAATGACAATTTAGAAGTCATAGAAGAAAAAACGTTTCTTTATTAAGTCAAAGAGAATTGGAAAATGAAAATAATTGTGCTAAAAAAATCGTCTGTATGTCATTGATGAATAGCAAAAATAAGCATGGACTCAAACGGGGTCCTCATCCTTGTAAAAAATCGAACGCATTGAATTATATAATACAAAAAAAATCCAAAATTCCGATTTGTCAAAAATTTCCCGTTCAAGAAAACTATACCATACCGCTATAACCTTGAATTCTAGGTATGTCATCGGCTATTGATGAAAAACGTGATGAGCCATAGAAAAAGGAAATTATCCGTGACTATTTTAATAAAAAAATTATTGCAACAATGGATTTATTGAGAATATTACGCAGAGTGGGTTTTGCTATAAAACAGTGATAATACCGTTATCGTAATGGACAATGCGAGAATCGGATGATGAAATCGAAATTGAAACTTCGTTATTCGCACTTTTAGTTTGCTTTTTCGTCATTATGCGTTGTATTAAGTGAAATATTCTTGTAGCGAGTCAAAATTTTCGCAGTAAATTTGTGTCGGTTCCCCTCTTCTGAAATTTCCGCTTTACTTATCGAATAAAACACACGCATAAACTCGAAATGCAGGCGACGTCTCGAATACGAAACGCCATAATGCAATGGAAATGAGTGTTTTATCAGCGCCCGATTGCCCATCACTTCGATCCCATTCAGGGAGATGTCTGCGTCAAAAAAGGGAAAAAGCGCTCCGGGCCGCATCTCCCTCTGCCGATCATTACTTCCAGGACTCGGCCTGCGAAGACCATGAGACCATGTGGGCCGCCGCCGCCGCCGCCATCCTTCCGCCTGCATTTCGGCGCTTTTTGGCAATGCCGGCCCATAAAGCTCGTCTCGCGTTTTATTTATACCGCGCCTAGCGCGCTTGTTTATACGCATCGCGTATTTTTAAATCTGGAAAGAAGGAAAAGAAAGGGCTGGAAGCGCTTACCTGAGGCGAGCCACAGCAGGGTGGTCCAAACCGCGAGCAGGCAGTAGGCCATGGCCTCGATCCGCGGCCCCGCACCGAATCGTCAGCCCGAGGGGGTGGCCCGGGGGTGGCCCATGGCGGGCCCACGCTCAGATCTCGGACGGCCAGCCGCGGCGGCCAATACACATGGTCAGCAGGGGAAGGCTGGGGATGGGCGGCGCGCGAACTCCACGAAAGACGGCCAGAGACTGAACGCGGAGCTGCGATGGAAGGATACCAATGGTCCGCGCCGGCGCCCGCCGGCGTCCCGACGTCGCGATACTACACTGCGGATACGGTGCACGGCGCGGTGCCGCCGGACTGATGGACGGACGCCGGGCGAGGGCCCATGAGGGCCCATGGCGTTCGGCTTGGACGGCGACACCTGGGCCGGGGGACCAATGAGGGTGGAGCGATTTCGGCCTTCCGGTCACACTGCGAATAGAGCTGCCGCTGAATTTCGACCAAATCGACGTTTCACGATAGCGCGGGATTGAGATCATTCGTAATCGAGTTGTTCGCACGAACGTCGGGGGATGATGACCCGATTACGTAATTTCGAACACACCCAGAATTTTCTAGTGCACACTTTTACATATTTCTGAATAAACTGACTTATTAATATTTAACTTTTGGCACGCTTATTTTGGCATGACGTCGGTAATTATTGCGTTTTCCTAAATCAAAACAAACATCAAACTTTACTTTCTGGGAAGCGTTGACGATATTCTGTATCGATAATATTGGTGGAATTTTCCAATGAAAGCGGAACTGTTTTCTACAAATGATGCTAATTTTTGTTTCGTAGGTCTTCTCTTTTTCTATTTTTATAAGGAAGAAAGTGCTGAGTGTCCGAAATTAATTAATTTCTGGAAGTATTTTCAATACAACTGTATCTATTATGAATACACGCCAGATTTAAGATTGGTGTGTAATTTATGAGCCCATAATCTTCCTGCTTATTTTAATATGCGCAAATTAAAAAAATTGTCGTCTGTGTGTCGTCCGAGAGAATCCGAGATAATGCGAGAGAAACCAAAGAATCTAGAGAATCTAAGGAATACAAGAAAAAAATCGAAAGAATTTCCAAAGAATCTAAGAGAATTCGAAAAATGCCAAGTGAATCCCTGTTAATCCGAAAAATTCGAGAAAATCCAAAGAATCCGAAAGAATCCAGAAGAACTCAAAAGAATCCGGAATCATTCAAGTAAATTCACGAGAATCCGATAATAATTCGAAAGAATGCGAGAAAATACGCGAAGAACCCGAAAGAATGCCAGAGAATCTAAAAAAATCCGAAAGACTACGGAAATCCGACCAAATTCCGAGAGAACTGGAGAAAATCTAGAACAATTTGAAAGAAACCGTGAAAAACCGATGGAATCTAATGGAATAGGAGAGAGAGAGAGAGAATCCGACTAAATTCGAGAAGATCGAAAAAAATCAGAGAAAATCCGGCAAAATTCGCAAGAACCCAAGAAACCCAAAGAATCGGAAGAACGCGAGAATCGCAAAGAATCCAAAGAACTGAAATAATTTCGAAAGAATCTAAGAGAAGTCGAAAAAGGTGGAGAGAATCCGAGGAAAGCCAAAAATAATTCTAAGTAATCCGAAAGAATATGAGACAATGAGGAAATTCGAAAAAATCTGAAAGAATCCGAAAGAAACCGAGAAAATTTGAAGGAATCAGAGAAAATCCGACAGAATCCGAAAGAATACGAAAACAATACGAAGAATACGATAGAATATGGGAAAATCCAATTAAATTTTGAGAAGATCGGAAAGAATCCAAAGAATCCGAAAGGATCTGAGAGAATCCGAGATAATGCGAGGGAAACCAAAGAACCTAAAAAATCTAAGGAATCCAAGGAAGTGCACCAAAAAACGCACAAAATCCAAAAAATCGAAAGAATTTACAAAGAATCTAAGAGAATTCGAAAATCATTCAAGTGAATTTAAGATAATCCGATAATAATTCGAAAGAATCCCAGAGAATACACGAAGAACCCGAAAGAATACGAGAGAACCTAAAAAAATCTCAAAGAATCCGAAAATCCGACTAAATTCCGAGAGAACCGGAGAAAATCTAGAAGGATTTGAAACAACCCAAGGAACCCAAAGAATCGGAAGAACGCGAAAATCGCAAAGAATCCAAAGAACTAAAATAATTTCGACACAATCTGCGAGAAATCGAAAAAGGTGGAGAGAAACCGAGGAAATCCGAAAAAATCGAAAGAATCCGAGGGAAGCCAAAAATAATTCTAAAGAGTCCGAAGGAATGAACAAAGAATCCGAAAGAAAATGAGAGGATATGAGAGAATTTAGCCAAATCCCGAGAGGACCAAAAAGAATTCAGCCAAATACGGTGAGGATCGGAGAGAATCTGGAAGAATCTGAAAGAAATCGAGCGAATCTGGAAGTATCTGAAAGATTACGAGAGAATCTGAGACAATGCGAGAGAAACCAAGGAACTACGGAAAACCCAAGAAACGAAAAGAATCAGAAGAACGCGAAATATTGAATAAATCCAAATAACCGAACAAATTTCGAGAGAATCTAAGACTATTCCAGGAAAGTTGACAGATTCCGGGGGACTTCGTGCGAATCCGAATTCAAAATAATCAGAAAGAATGCAAGAGAATCCAAAAGAATCCGAGAAAATCCAACAAAAGCCGACAGAATCCGAAAGAATTCAATACGAATACGGGAGAATATGGAAGAATCCGACAAAATTAAGATTCGAAAGAATGCGAGAGAATATGAGAGAATAAAACCAAATTTTGAAAGGGCCAGACAGAATTCGGCCAAATTCCGAGAGAATTGGAGAAACTTTGGAAAAATCCGAAAGAAATTGAGAGAATCCGAGGAATTCCGGCATAATCCAAAGGAATCAGAAAAAATCCGACTGAATACGATAGAATACGAAAATAATCAGAAAAAATTCAGAGAGAATACGAATTCACGAGAATCCCAAAGAACCTAGATGAATCCAAAAGAATCTGAAAGAATACGAAAAAGTTCCGAAAGAATATGAGAGAATATGGGGAATAATAATAATAATTTATTGACGGCAAATTTTAGCCTTTACATACATAAAAAGATACATAATAACTACTACTAGTAACTAATTATACAAAATGCGAATCTACCTAAATTCCCAAAAGATCTAAGAAAATCAGAAAGAATCCGAGAAATTCCTAAAGAATTCGGGAGAATCAGAGAAAATCCGACAAAATCTGAACAAATGTCGAGAGGATCAGAGAGATTCAGAACGAATTCAAAAGAATCCCAGAGAACCCGAGAAAATCCGACCAAGTTCCAAAGAATTTGAGAATTGTCAAGAGAATTTGAAAAAATGAGTGAAAATCCTAAAAAATCCAAAAGAATCCAAAAGAACTCGGAAGAATCCGAAATCATTCAAGTGAATTCAAGAGAATCTGATGATAATTCGAAAGAATCCGAGAAAATACGCGAAGAACCCGAAAGAATACAAGAAAATCTAAAAAAATCCGAAAGAATACGAAAATCCGATTAAATTCCGAGAGAACCGGAGAAAATCTAGAAGGATTTGAAAGAAACCGTGAAAAACCGATAGAATCCAAAAGAATACGAGAGAGAGAGAGAATCCGATTAAATTCGAGAAGATCGAAAAAAATCAGAGAAAATCCGGCAAAATTCGCAAGAACCCAAGAAACCCAAAGAATCGGAAGAACGCGAGAATCGCAAAGAATCCAAAGAACTGAAATAATTTCGAAAGAATCTAAGAGAAGTCGAAAAAGGTGGAGAGAATCCGAGGAAAGCCAAAAATAATTCTAAGTAATCCGAAAGAATATGAGACAATGAGGAAATTCGAAAAAATCTGAAAGAATCCGAAAGAATACGAAAACAATACGAAGAATACGATAGAATATGGAAAAATCCAATTAAATTTTGAGAAGATCGGAAAGAATACAAAGAATCCGAAAGGATCTGAGAGAATCCGAGATAATGCGAGGGAAACCAAAGAGCCTAAAGAATCTAAGGAATCCAAGGAAGTGCACGAAAAACGCACAAAATCCAAAAAATCGAAAGAATTTACAAAGAATCTCAGAGAATTCGAAAATCATTCAAGTGAATTTAAGATAATCCGATAATAATTCGAAAGAATCCCAGAGAATACACGAAGAACCCGAAAGAATACGAGAGAACCTAAAAAAATCCTAAAGAATCCAAAAATCCGACTAAATTCCGAGAGAACCGAAGAAAATTTAGAAGAATTTGAAAGAAACCGTGAAAAACCGATGGAATCTAATGGAATAGGAGAGAGAGAGAGAGAGAATCCGACTAAATTCGAGAAGATCGAAAAAAATCAGAGAAAATCTGGCAAAATTCGCAAGAACCCAAGAAACCCAAAGAATCGGAAGAACGCGAGAATCGCAAAAAATCCAAAGAACTAAAATAATTTCGAAAGAATCAAAGATAAGTCTAAAAAGGTGGAGAGAATCCGAGGAAAGCCAAAAATAATTCTAAGTAATCCGAAAGAATATGAGACAATGAGGAAATATAAAAAATCTGAAAGAATCCGAAAGAATACGAAAACAATACGAAGAATACGATAGAATATGGAAAAATCCAATTAAATTTTGAGAAGATCGGAAAGAATCCAAAGAATCCGAAAGGATCTGAGAGAATCCGAGATAATGCGAGGGAAACCAAAGAACCTAAAGAATCTAAGGAATCTAAAGAAGTGCACGAAAAACGCACAAAATCCAAAAAGTCGAAAGAATTTACAAAGAATCTAAGAGAATTCGAAAATCATTCAAGTGAATTTAAGATAATCCGATAATAATTCGAAAGAATCCCAGAGAATACACGAAGAACCCGAAAGAATACGAGAGAACCTAAAAAAATCCTAAAGAATCCGAAAATCCGACTAAATTCCGAGAGAACCGGAGAAAATCTAGAAGAATTTGAAAGAAACCGTGAAAAACCGATAAAATCCAAAAGAATACGGAGAAAGAGAGAAAGAATCCGACTAAATCAAAGAAAATCCGGCAGAATTCGCAAGAACCCAAGAAACCCAAAGAATCGGAAGAACGCGAAAATCCCAAAGAATCCAAAGAACTAAAATAATTTCGAAAGAATCTGCGAGAAGTCGAAAAAGGTGGAGAGAAACCGAGGAAATTCTAAAAATTCGAAAGAATCCGAGGGAAGCCAAAAATAATTCTAAAGAGTCCGAAGGAATGCGCAAAGAATCCGAAAGAAAATGAGAAGATATGAGAGAATTTAGCCAAATACGGTG